TATAATATAATTAACTTCATATAGTATTAATATCTTTGTTATATAGCTTGAGTACTATTTATAATAATAGTAATAAATAAATACTAATTTATAAATTACAATAAATTAATTAATTATTTTGTTTTAGCAAAACTTTTCAATTAATAATGTAAATCAATCACAAAAAAAATTAATTTGTTAAAAATATATAATTTTATTATAAAATATTATAATTTTCAATGTATAAACCTTAAAATTTTTAATGTTATATTTTAATGTGAATTGATATATTACTAATTAATTGTATTTAATAGATAAATTATATTTTAACAGATATAATATATATAAAATTGATATAATTAATTTTGATATCATCAAATTAATTAATACCAAAATATATTTAATGTAATACAATATAAATTTTTATTTATTTTTATATATTATTAATTAGCAATTTCTTATATATCATTTTTTATAAAAAATAATTTCTTATAAAATATAAGAAAATATGATACAAAATTTAAAAAAATATATATTAAACTAATTTATAATTATAAAAATATATGCAAATTTTTTATAAGACTATGAATAAGATTGCTTATCTAAACTCATTTTAGATTTAGTATAATATCTAAATTATAGTTTCATTAAATTTTTACTAAGGTTTTGATATAGTTTCACATTTTTTATAAGCTTTGATATAATTTTACCTTTTCTAGAATTTTGCAGATTATTTAATAAGATTTTAATATAATTTCACTAAATTTTACCTTTTCTATTTAGATAAACTTGCAAAATCTCTAGGTTTCATTCAGCAACCTTAATGATGAGTAAATTTATTAAAATAAAGATAAAAATTAAATTTTAGTTAGTTAATAAATAAAAGTTTATTAATTTTATAAATATTATTCTTTTTATTAACATTAAAATTTTCACAAAATTTCATTTCTTATTAAAAGATTTAAATGATTTAAATTCATTTTAAATTTAACAAAATGTTTAAATTTTAATTTTGCTAATTTTTACTAAGAACTTAATATAATTTTGCTATTTTTATAAACTTTAATATAATTTATCTTTTTCTGAGTTTTTACAGATTTTTTTAATTAATATATTTTAATAAAAGAGAATTAGTATTATAATAAAAAAAAATTATTGTGATTTTATTAGTGTGAATTAGATTTCTAGATCTTTAAATAATAAAAAATTTTTTTTTTTTAAAAAAAATTCTGTTTTAAACAATTTATATAATGCTAACGATTAGCTATTATTATATATCTTATTATTATTATATACTAATATTAACACTAATATTAAAACTAATACTAATACTAATACTAATACTTAAACTAATATTAATATTAATACTAACATTGTTACTAATTATCTTAATCACTCATTTTGCTATCTTTTTATTGCATTTTGTTGATAGTTTATTTGACAAGAATAAAAAAACTAAATTGATTATAGTTCAAAAAAATAATTGCAATTACACCAATACTAATATTAATATTAATACTAAAACTAAAAGGAAAAATTAAAGTAAAAGAGAAATTTATCTAAAGAAATAAAGGTTATTTAAATATTCTTTTTTTTGTTTAAAAAAATTTTAATCTGTAATAATGATACAATCAAATGTATAATAAAATTATTTTTATTTATTTTATAATATTATGTATTATTTATTTCTATTATATATTATTTATTATTAATAATAAATTAACTAATTTATAATTATTAATTAATAATTTTATTTATTTTTTTGATTTATTATTTATTGGTTATATTAATAGATTTACTATTTTAATTTATCATAATAATGTAGTAAAGTGGATAATTTTTTTATTATTTTATCTATTTTTTAATTATTAATCAAAATCTAATAGCTTTTTTTTAATTTTAATTAGAAATGATTCTATTATTTCAGACAAATATAAGTATAACACCCTTCAACTTATTATGGTAATGCAGCTAAATACATGATAAAAATTACTTTTTATTATTATTATTATTATTTATTACTAATAATTTTACCTGATGATGCTTTAAATTTCAAGAATAATAAGTTTCTATTATATTAAAAATCATGATTATTATTAGTAATAATCAATTAAAAAATAAAAAAAAATAAAACAAACAAAAAAAAATTAAAATTAAAATTAAAAGATTATAAGAAAAATAAAAAATAATAATAAAAAAAAGATTAAAAATTTAAAGATAAAAATTAAAAAGATTGCAGAGTTAAAAATAATAAAAAAATTAAAAAAAATCAAAATAAAAATAAAAATAAAAAGATTATGAAGAATAAAAATACAATAAAAATTAAAATGATCACAAAGTAATAAAAAAATATGATAAAAAAATTAAAAAATAAAATTAAAATCAAATAAAAAAATTGAAATAAAAGAAAAGAAGAGAATAATTAGGATTACTAATTTCTTTTTTATTATTATTAATTATTTTTTTATTTCTAAGTGATTCAGATCAGTTAATTCATCATAATAATGTAGTTAGATTTAATCTTTTTTTACATTAATAGGATTACTAATTTTTTTTTGTTATTATTGTTTTTATTATTTATTATTTCACTTATTTTTGATTATTAATTACTTTTTTCAATTTTATAGATTTAAACTATAGATGATTCTCATAATTATTTTCAAATTTCAATTGAGTTGTAACTTAATTGTGCTATAAAAAAATTTAATGTGCTATAAATTGCAATTCAATTACGCTATTTTTTTTTAATTGCAATGACCATCTTTAATTAAAACCAATTTTGTTTATTTAGATAAATATAAATGTGCCATTTCAAACAGATCTTTTAGCTCATTATAATGGTATAAGCAGATGTAACAATTAAAATAATATTAAAATTAAATCTTTAAGTCTGTTTACAAATTTATAATAAAAGAATATAAGAGATTAGAAGTAAAAGCATCTAAACTATTACCTTTATTTAAATTACTACAAACAAATAATTAAACATTCTTATAAATACAATAATACTAAATATTAATTATTTTATTTATAATTTAATAAAGCATATATCATAACTAAATATCAAAAAGTAATATAATAACCATTTCTAGCAGTGATAAAATTATTGCACAATAATTAATTTAGTTTTTATAAAATTATATAAGATGATTTACAAATCTCTAAGTTTCTTCTAGTAATTTTAGCTGAAATATCTTTAATGATTATTGATTAGTATCACATATCTCATCTGATAATTGTAATCTAAAGTATATTAATTATAATCTAAGGTATAATATATATAATTTAAAATAATATTAGATTATTGCAAAAAGTAAATTTTTAGGTAAATTTAATATATAAGAATGGTTTATATAATAAAAATTATAATATAATCATAAAAACACTACTAAAAATAGTTTAAATATATGTATAATTGTCTAGCATAACACATTTTAGTAAAATCTATATTTTGACAGATTTGTTAATAGTATTTTCTTATAAATATATTTTTTTATATTTATTTAATATATCAATAGTAAATTTAATGTTATATTTATTTGTTGATTCATTAAAATATTAAAAAAATAAAATAAAAAATTAAAATTTTGGTTAATAAATAATAATAAGAAGTAAAATAATAAAATGCTTCAAATAAATGAAGAATAAATTTATTTTAATAATATTATCTTTAATACTTTATAATAATAAATCTAAATATTACCTATAAACTTTATTAATTAATTTTAAATCTTTTCTGTAATTAAACTTTACAAAGAAAACTAAAAAGTCTATAACTTAAACATATGAATAAAAAGTTTATAAATTCAGATAATTTGATTAAGTTAAGAAGAGCATATGGGAAGTTTGCTAAGAAAATCAGGCTGTAAAAAATTTTTAATGTTTATTACATTTTAATTTTTAATATAATATTAGATTAAAATAAAAATCCAAGTAATTTTATTATCTATAAAAAAACATTCTAAGAATAAAATATAATTAATTACTATCCTTTAGTATTGAAAGTCTAAAAAAAATGTTTAATAAGAATTATAAAATAGAATGGTTTTTATAATAGCCTTAAAGGATTTTGTTTTTTACATACTTATATACTAAATCTTTTTTAACAATTCACTTACCAACTCAGAATTTCAGAAAATCTCAAAATATTTTTTTTGTCAATAAAGCCTGATAAATAATTGTAATATAAGATCCTTCTTAATCCAACTGATTTTAATTCTGGAAGTTTTTTTCAAATACTTTTTAATATCATCTAAAAATTTTCTAAAATTAAATTTCCATTTTTTGAAAATTTTTGTCTGCAAATATGTAAATTTCTTCACTTTTAGGTTAATTTTTACATAACTAAAAAATCCAAATTTAATTGGTTAAATGATTTAATGAACTTTAATAGTATAGCTTGAATTTTTTCAATGCACACACGATTTCGCCAGCTGGTTAACGAAGAGTTTGTTAAGTTTATCATTATTTGCATTTACTGGAATTAAAGTGAATATTTAACTTTTCTTTTACAACATGAATGTATTTATTTATCTGTTTCCTATTATCAAAAATATTTTTTTGAGCTATTGTAAAAAATCTATTCAAAACTGAAATTTAATTATTTGTATTGCGATCATCAAATCGACTAAAAATCATAAATAAATAAATTTATTCGCGTGTAAAATAACTCCGCAAATCTAAATTTAACAATAATCCTTTGTATAAAGCAACATAAATTTTGTGTAGAAACGTCATACACAATTACATATATTTTTACAGAACATTGTCATTTTATGAAGATTAAAATCAAACATTTTTAATTTTTGAAAATTGTAAATATTTTTATTTAATTTAAAATTGATTTTTTTTTATCTTTTTTTTTTTTTAAAAAAAAAAATATATATAATTCATTTTACAAATTGTATTTATAAATAATAAATTTATGATTAAGAAAATTGTTTTACTATAATTTTAATCATAATGAAATGAATAAAAAAATATTTTGTAATCTTTTTTTTTTTTTACAACTCAAAATTATTTCACACACTTTTTTTAGGTTCAATCTCTTTATCCCCATGATATCCTGAATCATCGTCATAATCATTTATTTCAACTTTTGGTATAGACGTTGGTCTTTTGTTTACCTCTGAAAATGCTTTATCTTTTGATAATTCTGTGAATGCATCAACTCGAAAGCCTCCACTATTACGTGTACTACCTTCACTTAATACATTAGAATTGAACGAACTTGCACGACTACGAGTTCTAGTACTACTATGTCCGCTTGAATTTCTACTTCTTCCTACTACATTTCCATGCTGCTTGTCAAGAAAAAAGAATACATCATCATAATCTGAATCATCTGCTCTTGACCAATCAAAAACTTTGTCATCAAGAAAATCAGCCATTTGGAATAATCTTTGATATCCCGATTGTGGTCTTGATGGTGATGGTGAAGGTGATCGACTACTTTTCTTCAATTCTCTTACAAGACGTGAATTATCAAAATCTGGAAACACTTTGGGTCCAAGTTCATTAATAAGATCTGTAAGATCATATGATAATTGTTCACGTACTGCACGAAGATTTTGAATAGATGATTGTGACCATGGTAAAAGCGATAAGAAAAGTGGGCGAAGTGACCTATATACATAAATAGAATTTATGAATAAACTATTTATCATATATATAACTCGATAAATGTAAGCAACCAACCTGTATATATCGAATCCAGAATCAGCTAAATGCATTGTAATGTTACTAACTAAAAAGAACAAAATATATATAACCACAGGAGTCCACCAATGAAGTTGTAATATATTCCAATCATATTTATAGGCTAATGATAACGTTACAAAGGTATAAAATCCATATAAAATAGGCATGACAACAAGAGCAACAAGAAGTTTCCAAGTTGCTAGTACATCACGACCAGCTACTTTGACAGTGGATGACTTTAAAGCCTCTGTAATTTATGATTTCAATATATCAAAAAATATATATAAAGTAAGTTTTAAAAAATTATATTAAAGCAAACCTTTTGCCTTTTTTGCGGATATGACACGGGTTATAGTTATTAATGGAATATTTAATATGAAACTAATTTTTTTTATAATAAATTAATTAAATATACATTTAACAAATTTGAAATTACCAAAAATCAAATCAAATTAAACCTTAGAATTATATTTACCCAGGAAAGCCGATAATAGCCCATATTATCAAGACAAGTAATCTGTATATCAACAGGGTAAAGGCTCTTATTCCTCCAAGCGCTGTTCTATGAACCTGATGATCCTTCAAACCATGATATTTCAGTAATTGATTATATGCCATTACCTTTTCATTCATTTCCTTTACACGTGGATCATCTTTAAATTTCATATAACCAGCAACAAACCGACGATTCAATTCAATAACATCTGATAGTTCAAGTTTATGATGTTCAGGGTTATATAAACGTCGTGCAGCTTGAATAACCTAATAATTAGTTAAAAATTATATAAATAGATAACAAATTTTAAAGTTATATCATATTACTCCCAAACAACATACCATTAAAGTTTCATAGTCTGGTGTATTCACTGTAACAGATCTCAAAGCCGTATAAATACTATCTAACAACTTTCCGCATGCTTCTCTCTTTTCCACTCCACCTTTACGATACTTTTCAACTAATTCGGGTGATATTGAGATAGGGGTGCCAAATTCTACAACAGCTCGTGAACGGAAAGAATGAGCGTGAAAATAATTTAAACCTAATCAAAAAAATAAAATTTAAGGTTCAAAATACAAGATAGTTGTAATCACTAAACAGAATTAAATCATCCAAATCAAACCGCATGGTACAATCTTCACATCCAACTTTGGGTTTGCAGCCATTGCTCCAAGAGCCATAATTGTAACGCCAGCTACCAAAAAATAAAAATCATTGCATTTATAAAATAATCATAATGCTAAATCAACGATAATGATCATACCTTTTAATGGCAATATTTCTGTCCTATCATGACTTCCACCTTCAGGAAAGATTCCAATACAATTTCCTGCATTTAATGTCTCAAAGACGGATTTATACACTTGGCTTTGATCAACATGAGGCAAACACTTGAATGAAGTTCCTTCAGGATTTGTTAACATTTCTAAAGCGTTCAAATCTTTAAATTCTTTTTTGATCAATAGTTCTGTATCTGATATTACTTTAGTAACTTCAGATGATCCACGATCATTAGGAAGTGCAATTTGAAAGCCAACTTTAAATTGTTTTGTGAATTCAGTTCCAACCCCTGTAATACGTAAAGGGTCAGTTTTTCTGTCAACCAAATGAATTTTCCCTATTCCTTGCTTGGCCAAATCATGTGGTCTTGCTACGGGAACTAGGTTAAAATATTGATTTTAATTCAAAATTATTTAATAATGAAAATTACTAAAGATTAAAAAGATTTAGTAACTTACTTGCATGAACAGCACGGGCCATGGCTCCAATATATTTACGTTTCATGGACTTTTCTGCAATTAAAAATGAAACTCTGCGCTTGGTATTCATCATCAAATTCAGTGGATCAACAAACTAATATCGTAAATTTTAAAGAAGTAAATCTTATGTGTGAATTCTTAAGAGACATGAAAACAAGTTATAATTTTTACCTGATTTGCATGAGGTGCAGCAACGAAAATCACAGGACCTTCCATAGGAATCTTATGTGATCCTCGTGATTTGATTTCTCTGAAAAAATTGTCCAAGACCACACTAAAGAAAAACACAACAATATCATATATTGTAATAAACATCTTTTCTATTTTTTAAATACTAAAATTTTTTGCGAATTTAATCAATTTAATTAGATATGAATCAGGATAAAAGTAGAACGAATTATTGTAAATTATGTAAAGTTTCTAAATGTCATGGAACTATAAAAGAAATTTTACAAAAAAGGGATTGCTTTTATTTATCAGAGGAAAGAAAGAATAAAAACGGACAAGTTAATTTGTTGCTATAAAAAAGGAAAGATCGTGTAACGATTGTAATCGGAAAAAGGTGATAAGGGACGGGTAAGAACAAAATTGGTAAATGCCTTCCTTTGATCACAAGCATTGATCTTCGAAAATCATATTATTTAAGCTGCGGAGTCTACATTGAATTATCACATGTGATGCGAATTGCTTTTCAACGTTTTCTTAAAATGGCAATATTTTAACTCCGAGTACCTCCGAATTTAACTTCCGACCCCTTTTTAAAGCTCATAATGAATTCATTTGAAAGATGTCAAATTTTGTATTAATAGTTGATCATTTGTTTCGGTAATCAGATTCCCTGACTATAAATTTTAAGCAAAATAAATTACAATTCTTTTTTTTTTTTCCTGAATAAAAATAAAATTAAAAAAAAATCCTCGTAAAAATTTAAAAATATTTATTATCGCTTTAGCGCTACGCTCCGGACAATTATTTGAATGTTATATAAACTAGGGAACGGTTAACCGTTCTAGTCCGAAGCATAATTTCAGATAACAGGACTTATAATAAAATGGTATTCGATTTTTTTTAGTGTTCAATTTTTGTGAAACACGCATGACATAACATCAGAAACGCAGAATTCTATTGGGAACGCTTTGCATTTTATATGCTTATCTTTCGGACAATAATACTTTTCCTTTTTATATATATATAGTATATAAAATTAATAAACTTACAAATAAACAATTATTCTATAAATAATTTATCACATAGATTATAATTAACTGTATATATATAGTTTACTTATATATTTTTATTTTAACAAAATAAAACAATTGTGGGAAATTTATCAATAGAATAGAATATATGTTTTAATTGACCGTTCCTAAGTAAGCAAAAAAAGAGGTGATTTTATATGTTTCAGTCTTTTTACGATAATTTGTAGATGAATTCACCATAAGTTAGCTTAGATCGTTGAAACAAATGAATTAATAAATGTAACGGATTTTGCCAAAAGTCGAATGGGCATATTTGCTTTCCTAAATCTGAAAAATGGGAGTAAATTTCTCGGGAGCCCTTTCACAATAATTCGAATAATAATTCGAAATCGTAATCTTCAATGATTCGACTTAAAAAGGAAGGTGCATATGACGATATATATATATATATATATAAATAATCATTTAAGTATGGGCGCCAAAATATCCATGCAAGTTTTGACTTTTGACGGGATTTTATTATGGTCTCGAGTATCGACAGTTTTACCAATAAATTGCCAATGAAACCCGAGAATTTTGCTGCGAGTAATGAATATCTCACAGCTATTGAATTGAAAGGAAGCAACGATTATTATTTTTTTTTAAAAAAGCTATTTATCACAGTATTTCAAAATAGTAAATAAAAATTCTTATATCAACTTAAAAGCTCATCCGATAAGTTAATAAAAAAGAGATCTCAAATCTCTTTTCCAAAAATCAATTTATTTAAATGCTAATGATAAACATTAAATTTTACAAAAATTGTGAAAAAAATCCTATATAATTTGTAAATGTTTGTAATTCGATTACAAAGATAAAATTAACGTGTAATGTCTCTTTTCTTGAATTAATAATAGGGTTATAACCTATGTCGTGTTTGCGTCCGAACCTCTGCCTGATTTTGTTTAGAACTTCGGGTTTTTTATCTTCTTGTATTTGTCCTTTTGTTTTTATCTTCTCATTCCTGTTCTTTGGTGCTCCTTTTTTAGGCGCTTCTTTTTTATGTGCTTTATCTTTTTCTTGTTCTTTGGGAGCTCTTCTTTAGGGGCTCCTTTATTTAAAACTGGTGTTTTAGGTGCTATTTTACGTGTAACTTGTTCTTGTTCAATAGTCGAATCAGGTTCGTTTGAATAAAAGTTTGGTGTCCACCTCTTCATTAAGTTGACAGAATTAATGTTACAGAGTTCGTTTATGAAGAATTGTTCAGGATCGACATTAGATCCATGGCATTCATTATATAATGTATTTAATTTTTCAGAATTACATATGCAATCCTTTGTGGAAACATTGTCAGAATTTTTAATACAAATTTTACGCTCAACGTTATATTGCCTACAAGAAGGATTTGGGGATGCATAAACCGAAGCAAGTGTAGCAATGCAAAGAACAAGAGCAGCAGACATCAAATTGGATTTCATCTTTTTAAAATATTAAAAAGGTAAATGACATAAGGTTTGAATATAGGGGAAAGGTGTGAAGAAATATTTAGGAATGTTGTGATCAAGAATTATAAAGAGAGGGAGAGGAGAGGGAGATGAGAGAAGGAGATGATAGATCGAGGATTTTTTTCTTGAAGGATTAAATGAATGAATAAAAAGAGAAAGAAAGAAACAAGTTGATTAGGTAGGTTATGCCAGTCAAAATTGTATGAAGAAACAAATTCGAAACGCAAATATCATGTTCTTTTATAAGTAAGGGATTTTTTAAATTATGTTGTACCAATTCTGTAATTTGGTTTTGGTAAACGGTATGGTAACCAATAAATCAAAAGGTCATTTCGCATGGATTTGCAAGCATGTGAAAAAAAAATTTCCTAAAATAGAATTGCGGAATTTTGTTTTACGGCTTCTCTTATGTTTATGATCGTTTAGGTTGCGCCATATGATATTTTGTAAATATTCAAACAAAGAATGATCAATTAAAAAAGCTTATTATACAGTATTATTTGAATTCAAGATAAAAAATGATTTTTTTTTGATTTCGTGACAAAAAAATTAGTTTTTATTATCTATCCATTCATGGAATGATGTGCAGATTGTTTACAAATCCGTAAACGGTTAAGTCTGGAAAAGATAAAATAAAAATAATCTGTTTGTTACACTTGAGAATGATGATTCGTTTCGAAACGATACAAAGAACAAAGGGAAGTATGCTTATTTCCAATGTAGATTAAATTACGTAATGACGGCTATGCAAATCTAATCATATCATAATCATACATAGAGGAAATTTTGTTTTTCGAAAGATTTTTTCCTTACCCGATTTAAGCAAAAAAAAAAATTCCAGAAATTTCAGGTGATATTAATACCTTATTGGATGGATGCCTTTTAAAATAAAATCACCAGAAAAACATCTGAAGATAATTTACAGAATAACTTTTTTTTCTATTCCTCCGCTGGATAATGCAGATCAGGTGACTGACATTCTTTTTGTTCATCATGCTTTTTAACACAAATTTCTCTCGTCTACTGCAATAAAATAATATTAAACTCTTTACCCTATCTTAAAATGAATATTTGGCAATAAAACATGAATGATGTAGGTTTTCTTTTTCATAAAGAGAATAAGCTATTTTTCGTTTACCAAACTATTTCCATATCACGTGATATCAGTTTTACGAATTCAAAGTAATGGAAAAGACCATATTTTATTTTAAAATAATTCCATCCTTGCCATAATAATAATGGAACGCACATGGTCAATTCATCATTTTGCTTTTCTTCTTCTTTTTTAAAAAAAAAATTTTATAAAACCAGTACATAACGATAATCTCAGAAATTCAAAATGAGGTTTGCTAATATTTGATAATTCAAATTTATATAACCGTTTAACAATATTTAACCGGTGTTACAAGAAATCGGCATTATGAATGGCGCAGAAACTGCGTAAAAATAATGAAAATATTGAAAATTATGAAAATTATGAAAATGTCAAAAATGTCAAAAATATCATTTATATTAATTATATCAATTATATTTATTATATCAATTATATGTGTTAAAATAATTATAATAGTTATATTCGTATATCAATTATTTTTATTATATTAGATATATTCGTTATATTTATTTTAAGATAGAAAAATTAGTATTAGAAATTTTGTATATAAACCCCGAAATTCCGCTTTGTTAAAAGAATAAGGTTGACGAGCCTTGACTGTACGAATTCTTGCCATAATAAAATTCCACGTTACACTTTCAAACTTTATCGTGTACTGACTAATAACCACTACACAAAGAATTGTATTCATTAGTTAATTGTTAAATAAATCTTTTTTAGGACGGACCTTAGTTAGATTTAATCATTGTTTGGTTAACCTGGCTTCGGTTTAAAATCTTCAGGCCGGTTCCAACCTCTAATGAATTTCGGTTTATACGTAATCGTAAACTATTCGCCATTTGTTATGCTATCGTTATACAACGGTTAGTCACTTCCAAGTTTAAATATTAACATATTTATGTTTAACTGACGTTATTAATTTAATTTCTTCAAGAATTCAATGAAAAATTTCATGGGAAAAAAAGCTATATTTTCATCATGAATTTTGATGAGGATGTAACTATCTCGCATTATCAAATTAAATTCTTCATTTTCTGATAAACGGTAGGTTTAATAGGTTATTAAAATGTAAATCCCTTAATTAGATAAAAATTAATCTTATAAATATTCTTAGTTTATTGTTTAAAAATATCATTGCAATCGACTTGAATAAAGAATCATTTATTCCTAACTAAAGTACAAATTTCATTGATAACTTCTTGTGAAAGTTTAACTTATTGTATTTAATATTATAAAACTCGATAAAATCGCTTTAAACTTTTTTTGTTGCCATTATAAATATTTTAACCTTTTAGAGTCATACAATTCAGGAGCTTTTTAAAAAAAAATTTTTTTTTACGGTTACACCGTTCATAATGAGCGGTGGGCTTAAAATGTTGCATGATCTACCGAATGCATTTTTTTTCTCATCATTTCGCTTGATAAAAATCCGATTAAAAAAAATCAAAATGCAATCTTCCAATAATTCAAATGAGTGGTTTGAAGAATATGTTTCAAGTAAAAATATCAAATATTATGAATACAAGCATTTTAGTAATTTTTTGAAGAGATTGGTAAAGGCAGCTTTGGACAAGTCTATCGTGCAAATTGGAAAAGTTCAATGCAATACCTCGCGTTAAAATCATTACATTACTTCAACAATGCCACTGTTAAAGAACTTGTTCGTGAGGTAATTACAAATTCAATTCGTATTGAATTTCATTCTATTTATTACAAATTCATTAATATATTTTGAATAATTTAGCTTGAATTTCAACGAGAGGTTGATTTTCATTGCAATATCATTCGCTTTTTGGGGATTACAGCATCAAACCAAGGTATAACATATTAAATAATTAAGTTATTAAAGAATTCGTATTGACTTTTACATTTGCATTTTTAACTAATCTATATTTTAATAATTAAAAAAAAAATTAGAAAATCAAATTAATCAATTGAAAAAATATTGGTTAGTAATGGAATATGCTGATGGCGGTGCACTTAGAAAATATTTGAAGGACAATTTTGAAAAACTTTCTTGGGGAGACAAATACAACTTGGCATTCCAGTTGGCTAGTGCTGTGTCGTGTTTACATGACGAAGGAATTGTGCATCGTGATCTGGTAATCTATATAATTTATATCTTATTTTGTTTATTTAGAATCTTAAAACATTAATATATAATTTTATATTTACTTATAATAGCATTCCGGCAATATATTAATTCATCAAGGTGCAATTAAACTAGCAGACTTTGGTCTATCAAAAAGAATTGACGAAGCAACTAACCAATCAAAAATTTTTGGTGTAATTCCTTATATGGATCCTAAAAGATTTGGTGGCCGGAGAAAAAGTGTTAATTTATCACAAAAATATACGTTGAATGAAAAAAGTGACGTTTACAGCGTTGGCGTTCTATTATGGGAGATATCGAGTGGTCGTCCTCCTTTTTATGTTGAAGGTGAGCCATACGACATTGATTTAGCTATAGAAATTTTACAAGGACTCAGAGAAAGTGTCATTCCTGGTACGCCTGAAGA